GGAAGGAAAATTAGCAGCTAGGTGCACATGCCTGTAGTTCCAGCTACTCAGGAGACCAAGGCAGGAGGATTCCTTCAGCCAGGGTTTGAGGTTGCAGTGAGTTATAATGACACCAACTGCACTCTAGCCAGAGTAACAAAGTATATCCTGTCTCAAACAAACAACAATATATATATATTTATCTTACTGGTCAGAAATGGACCAGATGTATAACTGTAAACCAATCACTGGCACAAGGGAATGGTATTACCAATTGTTTACATAATTGGTCACTTCCAGCACTAACTTCCCTGAGAACATTATCACACATAGCTAACAAAATGGATACCCTGTTAGAAAAACAGAAAGGGAAAATACTTTTTGCCAATTTGGTAAATGTAATCAATGTAATTAAACCTAAGTGTTCATACATTACATCTGCAAGCATTAAATATAAATATAGGCCTGAGGACAGTACCTGAGTCTTGCCCTACTTTTATAATATAGGTTGGCAGAGTTCTGTGATGGTAGAGCATAGTATAGTATCTATGGTTAAAAAAAAAAAAAGATTGCTTTTCAGTCCCAAATATTAATACACAAATGAAACTCCCCAGGCCTCAGAAAAAAATGAATGTTTTGGTGGATTGGCTTCTAATTAAATCAGAAAGTTAATTTCCTGTCCCATACCAAATTGTACTGAACCAAAATGTGGAGGAGTTGGACCCAGGCACTAGATTTTTTAGCATTAGTTTTCCAGATACTTTGGGCAACCAGGTTTTGAAAGCACAACTCTAGAGTAAAGTGCTTAACCAGTTTTTGGATTTGAAATTTCCAGGGAAGTGTGGTAACTGAAGTAATTTTTTCCTTTATTTAAACACTCCTGCCTTAGGCACTGGAAATTGATTTTCTCCTCCTGCCTTTTTGCTTTTCTTCACTTCTCTTAAAGTCCTATTGCACTACTGACTTCTTCACATTTTCGCTGATCTGAGGAAGGATTAATAGGAGCATGAGAGGTTTATATTATTGCATTATATGTGAAGTGGTATAATATTATTCTTGGTAGGTAGAATGAGTCTGTCATGCATATTATAATCCCCTAACCAACCAATTGAAAATTAATAAGTTAAAATTTTAATGTCAATAGATAAAGACCACACTCTCAATAGTTAGTATAAGTAAAAAAAAATCAAAAGAGAGCAATCTTGCTAATTAAAGTTGCAAATGTTCACTTCAGTAATAAATTAGATTGTGAGATCTTTGAGGCAAAAATGAGCTTCAATCAATTGTGTAATCCTTTAATGTAAAACACTATA